AGCTGCGAAGCGCTACAAGGTTGTCTGTAACAATATTAACCTTATAGTCCAAAGTTACGAGGCTCCTAAACTGTTGAATGCAGACTAAGCCGCCATAATCAAAGAAAGATGTACATGCTTCGTAAATGGACACTTAAATGCTTGATGACAGCTGGCCCAGGAGGTCTTTCCATATATATGTATATATATATGGAAAGTAATGTAGTAGGTGTAAGGTATCTGGGAGTAGATGTAAGGTATCTGGGAGTAGATGTAAGGTATCTGGGAGTAGCTGTAAGGTATCTGGGAGTAGATGTAAGGTATCTGGGAGTAGCTGTAAGGTATCTGGGAGTAGATGTAAGGTATCTGGGAGTAGCTGTAAGGTATCTGGGAGTAGCTGTAAGGTATCTGGGAGTAGCTGTAAGGTATCTGCGAGTAGATGTAAGGTATCTGCGAGTAGATGTAAGGTATCTGTGAGTAGATGTAAGGTATCTGGGAGATGTAAGGTATCTGGGAGTAGCTGTAAGGTATCTGCGAGTAGATGTAAGGTATCTGCGAGTAGATGTAAGGTATCTGCGAGTAGATGTAAGGTATCTGTGAGTAGATGTAAGGTATCTGGGAGATGTAAGGTATCTGGGAGTAGCTGTAAGGTATCTGGGAGTAGCTGTAAGGTATCTGGGAGTAGCTGTAAGGTATCTGGGAGTAGCTGTAAGGTATCTGCGAGTAGCTGTAAGGTATCTGCGAGTAGCTGTAAGGTATATGGGAGTAGCTGTAAGGTATCTGGGAGTAGGTGTAAGGTATCTGCGAGTAGCTGTAAGGTATCTGGGAGTAGGTGTAAAGTATCTGGGAGTAGGTGTAAAGTATCTGGGAGTAGCTGTAAGGTATCTGGGACTAGCTGTAAGGTATCTGGGAGTAGCTGTAAGGTATCTGGGAGTAGCTGTAAGGTATCTGGGACTAGCTGTAAGGTATCTGGGACTAGCTGTAAGGTATCTGGGAGTAGCTGTAAGGTATCTGGGAGTAGGTGTAAGGTATCTGCGATTAGGTGTAAAGTATCTGGGAGTAGGTGTAAGGTATCTGGGAGTAGCTGTAAGGTATCTGGGAGTAGCTGTAAGGTATCTGGGAGTAGCTGTAAGGTATCTGGGAGTAGCTGTAAGGTATCTGGGACTAGCTGTAAGGTATCTGGGAGTAGGTGTAAGGTATCTGGGAGTAGGTGTAAGGTATCTGGGAGTAGGTGTAAGGTATCTGCGAGTAGCTGTAAGGTATCTGGGAGTAGCTGTAAGGTATCTGGGAGTAGCTGTAAGGTATCTGGGAGTAGATGTAAGGTATCTGGGAGTAGCTGTAAGGTATCTGGGAGTAGCTGTATGGTATTTGGGAGTAAGGACTGATAACGGAGGGTTCATACATGATCTGAGAAACTATACAAGAGCATAGATTTTTTCTCACCACCTTTTATCTCGTACCTTCCAGTAGCAGTAAAGTAGTAGTAGTAGTAGTAGTAGTAGTAGTAGTAGTAGTAGTAGTAGTAGTAGTAAGTGGTAGTAGTAGGACGAGAGGTGCAGGAGAAGGGAGAGAAGAGCGCATCAACCTCGCCTGGTCGAGGCAGAACCCATCAAGTACAATTACCTTGACTCATGTGTTCATTCAACCCACCTTTAAAACCTCCTCAAGCTTCAGTGACTCCTCACCCACCCGTAGCTCCACCCACCCGCAGCCCCACCCACCCGCAGCCTCACCCACCCGCAGCTCCACCCACCCGCAGCTCCACCCAACCTCAGCCTCATCCACCCGTAGCTCCACCCACCCGCAGCTCCACCCACCCGCAGCCCCACCCACCCGCAGCTCCACCCACCCGCAGCCTCACCCACCCGCAGCCTCACCCACCCGTAGCTCCACCCACCCGCAGCCTCACCCACCCGTAGCTCCACCCACCCGCAGCTCCACCCACCCGCAGCTCCACCCACCCGCAGCCTCACCCACCCGCAGCTCCACCCACCCGCAGCCTCACCCACCCGTAGCTCCACCCACCCGCAGCCCCACCCACCCGCAGCCTCATCCACCCGCAGCCTCACCCACCCGTAGCTCCACCCACCCGCAGCCCCACCCACCCTCTGCTCCACCATAACTCCGACCTTATCTATCTATCCGACAAAGTCGGTAGACTGATCGATGTTAGGGTGAATTATAATACAAGAAATGATAGTGGGTGAATTATAGGAACATTCAGATTGAAGATTCCATCCCAATACTTTCACTACACGAGGAAATCACAACACCATGCTATATTAATGAGACAATCAGTGGAGCAGAGCAGGGATTAAAGCAGCATCTTGGGGAACGCCAGACGCATGCCATACCCCCTGAGCCACGACATGTTACACACTCTTCAAGCCGGGACTCACCTGTGTTCACTAAGGAGTCTGGGGTAGGATTCACGAAAGCACTTACGCAAATACTTACGAACGTGTACATCTTTCCTCAATCTTTGACGGCTTTGGTTACATTTATTAAACAGTTTACAAGCATGAAAACTTGCCAAACAACTGTTGTTATTGTTATAAACAGCCTCCTGGTGCTTCGGAGCTCATTAACTGTTTAATAATTGGAAACAAAGTCGCCAAAGATTGAGAAAAGATGTACAGGTTCGTATGTGCTTGCGTAAGTCCTTTCGTGAATCCGGCCCCTGGGGGCCCCCTGCTGTTAATACAACCAGTGTTTACTAACTGCCCCCCCCCATGTACACTGGTATAAGGGGTTCTCCACTATTTTATTCCCTTCGAATATACATGTAAATTAGAATTACGTGATATATCAATAATTATCCACCCTTTTCCCTTCTTCCCATCTCTTCACCCCATCTTCCCTCGTCCGCCTTCCCCTGGTCCCTCCTCCATTCCTTCTCATCTCCGCCTTCTCTCACATTTATTATTAAGAAGTACTGCAACAACAACTTCTGGGGCAGCTATTGCAAGTCAATAACAATCTATTATCATCATGGCCAATAGAAAAGTAAAGTAATTGATTTGGGTCAAATCAGGTCAATGTTGTTAAGGCTAAACCATGACCCAGACACTCAACTATGGTGAAATATCAGCGATGAACATCAGAGAAAGCAAAAATAAATTCATATAACTTGCAAAAAAGAGGGAATGACAGCCACTGTGGAGCGAGTTGTCCAGCGTAATGACACAACCTCGGAGGGTCACATCAGCGAACAACGGTCACCAGATTAAGGGTGTAAGGTTGTTGATCCGCCCATCGTTATGGGTCTTAGTGCTGCATACAGTGAACACAGGAAGTAATCCTTGCTTATGGCAGTTGCCACTACTGCCCGTACCTCTCTCTCTCTCTCTCTCTCTCTCTCTCTCTCTCTCTCTCTCTCTCTCTCTCTCTCTCTCTCTCTCTCTCTCTCTCTCTCTCATCCAAAACAATGCCTCGCCCAGACATTGTCACGTTGTCATGTATACAGGTGACACTCTAGGCTGCTTCCTTGTAAGGACAACACAGGGAGTGGGTGTGTTATAAGGACAACACAGGGAGTGGGTGTGTTATAGGACAACACAGGGAGTGGGTGTGTTATAGGACAACACAGGGAGTGGGTGTGTTATAGGGCAACACAGGGAGTGGGTGTGTTATAGGACAACACAGGGAGTGGGTGTGTTATAGGGCAACACAGGGAGTGGGTGTGTTATAGGACAACACAGGGAGTGGGTGTGTTATAGGACAACACAGGGAGTGGGTGTGTTATAGGGCAACACAGGGAGTGGGTGTGTTATAGGACAACACAGGGAGTGGGTGTGTTATAGGACAACACAGGGAGTGGGTGTGTTATAGGACAACACAGGGAGTGGGTGTGTTATAGGACAACACAGGGAGTGGGTGTGTTATAGGACAACACAGGGAGTGGGTGTGTTATAGGACAACACAGGGAGTGGGTGTGTTATAGGACAACACAGGGAGTGGGTGTGTTATAAGGGCAACACAGGGAGTGGGTGTGTTATAGGGCAACACAGGGAGTGGGTGTGTTATAGGGCAACACAGGGAGTGGGTGTGTTATAAGGGCAACACAGGGAGTGGGTGTGTTATAAGGGCAACACAGGGAGTGGGTGTGTTATAAGGGCAACACAGGGAGTGGGTGTGTTATAAGGGCAACACAGGGAGTGGGTGTGTTATAGGGCAACACAGGGAGTGGGTGTGTTATAAGGGCAACACAGGGAGTGGGTGTGTTATAAGGGCAACACAGGGAGTGGGTTCAGGAGGCACAGAGGGTGGCAGGGGTTCCCCTTCATAAAGGAGGCCGGCCTTATCCCACAAATTAAGTCTCATTTTATTTTGATCGCAGTATATACTTTTAAAATGAATTATTCCAACTTATTAATTTCTCCCATCTTGTTTGTGAGAAATAGACTTCAGCTCACAGCTTTATATTTCGTATACCGACTTCTGTCTCGCTTCTTTGTATTTAGACAGCGCTAATAACCATCTTGTAGCGTCCTTTCCCTCTTCTCTATGTGAAGTGCCCTTTCATTCTTTCTTGCCCCTTTCATCCTGTTCACCTGTTACTCTTCGTCCCTTCTCTTACCACCCTTTCCAATCGTTACCTTTCCTTACAGACCAGAGTCTGAACCAGAGTTTACGAGCTAGCCACCTACCTCTCTTTAAATATTTCCTAACAGTTATTTCGCACACGTTCACCCGATTGATAAACTCAATGGAGTTTCCAGTAAAGCTCACCAGGAGGCAGGTGTACACCTGGACACCTGCCTGGTGTACACCTGGACACCTGCCTGGTGTACACCTGGCGGGAGAGCAGCACCAGGCAGCCCCAGGGAGCACCAGGCAGCCCCAGGAAGCACCAAGCAGCACCAGGCAGCACCAGCCCACTAGATATCACCCTCAAGTAAAAATATACAGCAAATTAGAAGGAACGAGAGGAACACAATAGAATACATAACAGTACCGGCAGACAGAGGAACGAATGAGAACACCTCTCACAGACAACAGGAGCAGGATATGTAGGAGGTATGGCAAGGTGTAGGAAGCAGGAGAAGGTGCAGGAAGCAGGAGAAGGTGGCAGGAAGCAGGAGAAGGTGCAGGAAGCAGGAGAAGGTGGCAGGAAGCAGGAGAAGGTGGCAGGAAGCAGGAGAAGGTGGCAGGAAGCAGGAGAAGGTGTAGGAAGCAGGAGAAGGTGGCAGGAAGCAGGAGAAGGTGGCAGGAAGCAGGAGAAGGTGGCAGGAAGCAGGAGAAGGTGTAGGAAGCAGGAGAAGGTGGCAGGAAGCAGGAGAAGGTGGCAGGAAGCAGGAGAAGGTGGCAGGAAGCAGGAGAAGGTGGCAGGAAGCAGGAGAAGGTGGCAGGAAGCAGGAGAAGGTGCAGGAAGCAGGAGAAGGTGGCAGGAAGCAGGAGAAGGTGGCAGGAAGCAGGAGAAGGTGGCAGGAAGCAGGAGAAGGTGCAGGAAGCAGGAGAAGGTGGCAGGAAGCAGGAGAAGGTGGCAGGAAGCAGGAGAAGGTGGCAGGAAGCAGGAGAAGGTGTAGGAAGCAGGAGAAGGTGGCAGGAAGCAGGAGAAGGTGGCAGGAAGCAGGAGAAGGTGGCAGGAAGCAGGAGAAGGTGGCAGGAAGCAGGAGAAGGTGGCAGGAAGCAGGAGAACGCATCAACACTTACAAGAAGGTGGCAGGAAGACGCCCGAAAGCAGTAGAGAACAACAGTAAACACGGCCATGGAGGAAGAAAACACAATATATACAAAGGCACAAGAACGGTCGAAGACAAAAATGGCCGCCGAAGATATTACCCGAGGAGCATAAAACAAGAAGAAATTAGAGCGGCAGCAAATTAGCAAAAAGCTGCAGAAAGCAATAAGAGGAAAGTTGGGGAAGAGGGGCAGGAAAAGGCAGGAGGAGCAGCAGCAGCAGGCAGCTGGGTGACCGGGCCAGTCACTCCGGAACTATTGATCTGCCCAAGATGTAGACGGCTGAGCGGGGCTGAGGGTGGGTACTACCGTCAAGCTGCGGGGACAGACATGGGAGGGCAGCATGGGAGGGCAGGCATGGGAGGGCAGGCATGGGAGGGCAGGCATGGGAGGGCAGCATGGGAGGGGCAGGCATGGGAGGGCAGGCATGGGAGGGCAGCATGGGAGGGGCAGGCATGGGAGGGCAGGCATGGGAGGGGCAGGCATGGGAGGGGCAGGCAAGGTTGGTTTTAGTTGGAGACATAAGAGGCAGGAAAGCAGATTGAACAGAGAGCGAATGTTAGGAATTATATTGGGATTAAGTTGGTGGGAAGTTATGAGGGGAAGACAATCAGGGTAGATTGCACATACAGATGAAGGAAGAGTCAGGCTAACGCGGTAACTCTAGCAGAAACATGTTCAGGTGAAATTGAAATAAGTTTATTGAGTTATAAACACAAAGGGGTGAGGTAGCTCAAGCTAATATACATATCTTCCACTACACACCTATGCAGTATGTAACCAGACGTACACACAAATATTAATATGACTAGGTACATAGACAATATGCAATATACATTCAGACAATTCAGTAAAGTGCAATCTTGTTACAATTCAACAAAGAATCTTGGTGCAAAATTCTTTTATCTCTCCAGAAAATCATCAGTCTTTCCGTTGTGACACATCCAGATGTTCAGTTCGCTCTTGAGTTACCTCTGTTGATGTCGGGAGGTTGAAGAGCCTTGTACCTTTGGAGGTTCCAAGGACCGCTGAGGTTCCAAGGACCTCTGAGGTTCCGAGGACCTCTGAGGTTCCAAGGACCTCTGAGGTTCGAAGGACCTCTGAGGTTCGAAGGACCTCTGAGGTTCGAAGGACCTCTGAGGTTCGAAGGACCTCTGAGGTTCGAAGGACCTCTGAGGTTCGAAGGACCTCTGAGGTTCCAAGGACCTCTGAGGTTCGAAGGACCTCTGAGGTTCCAAGGACCTCTGAGGTTCCAAGGACCTCTGAGGTTCCAAGGACCTCTGAGGTTCCAAGGACCTCTGAGGTTCCAAGGACCTCTGAGGTTCCAAGGACCTCTGAGGTTCCAAGGACCTCTGAGGTTCCAAGGACCTCTGAGGTTCCAAGGACCTCTGAGGTTCCAAGGACTTCTGAGGTTCCAAGGACCTCTTGGACCTCTGTGTTATGCAAATGTGCTTATTGGCTGTATTTTACACAGTCAAAAATTTTCACTTCAGTAGGTTATTATGTTGCAGGTTTCGAACCCGACCTTCCAGTACTTTCCATGAGCAGTTTACAACATCTATCTAATCCAGTTTATAAAGAGTAGAGTACAATTTGAGTGCTTTGATGTGGAGTCACTAGTTTACCTACTTGAGTACTGCGATGCGAGGAAAGATTCATTTTCAACATGATAGAGCACCGTCCTATTAAGAGTATCATTATTTGTGTAGCATCTCTTTATTTATAATATTCTTCCCATTTACTTCTTTTATTTTCCTGGCCAGCTGCTATGTTTTATTGGGAAAGTTTATTAGGACAGGTTATTGGGACAGTCTGTTAGGACAGTTATTGGGACAGTCTGTGTTAGAACAGGTTATTGGGACAGTCTGTGTTAGGACAGGTTATTGGGACAGTCTGTTAGGACAGGTTATTGGGACAGTCTGTTAGGACAGGTTATTGGGACAGTCTGTTAGGACAGGTTATTGGGACAGTCTGTTAGAACAGGTTATTGGGACAGTCTGTTAGGACAGGTTATTGGGACAGTCTGTTAGGACAGGTTATTGGGACAGTCTGTTAGGACAGGTTATTGGGACAGTCTGTTAGGACAGGTTATTGGGACAGTCTGTTAGGACAGGTTATTGGGACAGTCTGTTATAACAGGTTATTGGGACAGTCTGTGTTAGGACAGGTTATTGGGACAGTCTGTGTTAGGACAGGTTATTGGGACAGTCTGTGTTAGGACAGGTTATTGGGACAGTCTGTGTTAGGACAGGTTATTGGGACAGTCTGTTAGGACAGGTTATTGGGACAGTCTGTGTTAGGACAGGTTATTGGGACAGTCTATTAGGACAGGTTATTGGGACAGTCTGTGTTAGGACAGGTTATTGGGACAGTGTTAGGACAGGTTATTGGGACAGTAGGACTGTGTTAGGACAGGTTATTGGGACAGTCTGTGTTAGGACAGGTTATTGGGACAGTCTGTGTTAGGACAGGTTATTGGGACAGTCAGACAGGTTATTGGGACAGTCTGTTAGGACAGGTTATTGGGACAGTCTGTTATTGGGGCAATCTGTGTTAGGACAGGTTGGGACAGGTTATTGGGACAGTCTGTGTTAGGACAGGTTATTGGGACAGTCTGTGTTAGGACAGGTTATTGGGACAGTCTGTGTTAGAACAGGTTATTGGGACAGTCTGTGTTAGGGTTATTGTTATTTGGACAGTCTGTGTTAGGACAGGTTATTGGGACAGTCTGTTAGGACAGGTTATTGGGACAGTCTGTGTTAGGACAGGTTATTGGGACAGTCTGTGTTAGGACAGGTTATTGGGACAGTCTGTTAGGACAGGTTATTTGGACAGTCTGTGTTAGGACAGGTTATTGGGACAGTCTGTGTTAGGACAGGTTATTGGGACAGTCTGTTAGGACAGGTTATTGGGACAGTCTGTGTTAGGACAGGTTATTGGGACAGTCTATTAGGACAGGTTATTGGCTCTAATATAACAGGCTAAGAAAACAGACTTCGTTGAAGACTGGCAGGAAAGAGAGGGGGAACAATTAAGTTAAAAATCATGGAAAAATCTAAGAAAAGGCTTGAAAGTCTGAGAGTTGAAAGAGTAGAAGAAAGCCTTATATGAAGGAAGTTAATGAACACGTATGATTATATGTGAGGCAAGATGCTGCATGAGGAGAACCTCATCTTACTTCCCTTCCACGAGACGAAATTAATATGAGGAAGGAAATTAAGAAATAAGAGAGTGGGAGAGCAACGAGTATTCACCGTGGCAGCACTTTAGAAGCACCGAAGCAGCACTGTAACATGGTCCCACCGTCGTACCGTTCAACCGTCGTACCGTGTTCTCCGTCGTATCCTTTCCCCACATCATACCTTGAGGGTACCTTGAGGTGCTTCCGGGGCTTAGCGTCCCCGCGGCCCGGTCGTCGACCAGGCCTCCTATCGTAATCATAGCGAGCAGTCTTGGTCAATTTATTTTCCTGGACACGATCATCTGGCGTACTGCTCCTTATCACCTTGGAGTGACCTCTGAACACTTGAGACGATGTAAAGGTTCCGTTTACTTTGTGGATGAGACAGAGAGGACTTCTTCTGCTGCAGAGATACAAACCCAGACTCCGGCGGCACGTTTATTGTGCACCCTATACTCATCCTGTGAGCGGTAGCGCAAAAAGCATTGCAGAGGGCACAAAAGGTCTTTATCAGACCTCATCTTAGATTATTATATAAACAATTTCAACTATCCCAGGACCTATCCTGTCCTGGGTTGGGATGGAGAATATCTGTAGTGGGTCCTGGGAGTTGCTCTACTCCCCCAAGCCCCGCCTGGGGCCAGGCTTGTCTTGTAAAATTCGATCAAAAAGGCCATTTCCTTTGGCTTGCTAAAACGAATGGAAGGACTATCGTCTCGTCGCAACACCGTCTTGTTCCTGGCTCGTGCAACTCTTCGCTACTCGACATACAGAAGCATTTATTCTGCTTCGAACAGGGAAGAGATATAAACAATTATGTAAGTAGGCTCCGAGCGCGAGGAATAGTATGTAGGTAACCCAGGCGTGATATTCGTGCCTAAAGAAGTGTGAGGAAGGAGGCGAGGCAGAAAATTACCCAAGGCGCAGCTCACACAAGTCGGTGGTCTTATCATGGCAAGCGTCGCGGGTTAAACAACGAGTTTAAGAAGCCACAGCGAGGAGTTGGTGAGGCCAGGCTGGGAAAGGTCACGGAGGAAGCTCTTGTACCAACCTGTCCTCTTAAAAATAACGTCGCTTTTGGCCGTTTGCCCGTATGGTCGAAAGTGGACGTAATTTGAAAATGAAAAAAAAATAAAAAATTTGGGATTTTTTTTCATCAACAGTTAGTTAAGGGTTCTCTGGTAGGTTAGGTGGGCAGAAAATTCTCATAAAGTTTCACATTTTTATGAAAAATGTTAATTGAAAGTTTCCTCTCCTAACCTTACCGAGTAAGCCGGACGACTCAAACAGAAACCGGGACAGTAC